AGGTCAACTCATCGGGAAATGCGAATACGACTACCTGCTTCCAGCCAATCACAGACAAGAAACTTATCACAATAGGAAGGGTTGAGTGCATCTTTCTATTTTTTCGTACTTAGTTGTGTTAAAGTGATTGAATGTGTGTTATGTGTGATTTTTTTGTGAACAGTTAAATACATATTTATCAATATCTAGTTATAAGTGCTTTCAATTCGTTCCTTGGGTGAGTAAATTTAATAATTGTTTTTACTAAAGTAGGTTTTTTTTTTAATTTTTGTTATACGCATATAAAAGCATACGACCATGGCTATCCTCTAAACATCACATTAAAATATATTACTTGTTGGTAAGTTGTTTATTTAATAGACGTTAAATATTGAATAGTTTGTACATAACTATTTCAGATGAGAATGCTTGTTTCAAACTTTTGAGAGCGTGATTTTTCAGTAGTCGGGTTTTAGCTATTGAATTTATTTTTTTATTAGCTTTTTTTTGTCCCGCAGAATCAAAAATACAAATTTTGAACTGAATATCTTAAAGCATTCTCTCCCAATAAATTATTTAAGTACTGAATTTTATACGTAGTACTTAATAATCTTTAATGCTTATTATTTTTCCCGTTAGAATCAACCATCAAAATGTATGAAGATAGCCCTTCAACTTCACGTGGCAATCTATCTCTAAATATCAGTACTACTCAAAGAGGTTCCAAAAAGTTAACAAGACATGGCTATGAATACGTTATTAAAAGACAAAATAATGACAAATCAATCTTGTGGCGGTGTGCGAAAATGAAAACATGCTCTGCGACGATAAAAACTAACTCTGATTTTAATGTGATAATGAATGAAACGAGTCATAGTCATGAACCCTTAAATACAACAGAAGTTGAGATAAAAATGCAAATGGAGAAGTGCTCAAAGGCTGTACAGGAGAATTTGTCTGATCCGATCTCAAAAATATTTGAAGAAAATATGGCTTCTCTGGAAGATCGTGGTTTAGATCTAATAAAGAAGTTGCCAGCTCTAAATAGTGTACAAAAAATGCTGTATAGAAAAAGAAATAAATCAATAGGAGCAAGAAAATTAACTTTTGCAAAAGCTAAAGATGTTGAAGTGCCGAAAAAATTTGAAAAGATATTATTTGCTGATTACGCACATGGGAAAACGCGTATTCTGATATTTGCTGATAATGAATTGAAAAAATACATGGCAACTTGTAAGAAATTTTACATGGATGGTACATTCAAAGTTTGTCCAAAGCCATTCTATCAATTGTACACTATTCACGCTGAGCTTGGAAGCAGTCAAGAATATCTTAATGTCATTCCAGTAATATACGCTCTGTTACCTGATAAGAAAATGTCCACGTACGAGCTGTTATTTCAAATAATAAAAAGTCAAATAACTGAGTGGGACCCCAATGACATTACAGTTGATTTTGAAGTTCCAGCTATATTGGCAATTCGAAGCAACTTCCCGGGTGTGAAAATAATGGGCTGCTATTTCCACTTCAATCGCAGTCTCTGGCGTAAAGCTAAGGCGCTAGGTGTATGCAAAACACAATTAGGCAAAATTCATGTAAAACTCTGTGCTGCTTTGTCTCATCTCCCATCCGAGTTAGTTAATGAAGGATGGCTCTACGTGATGGAGGAAGCTCCAAACAGCAACTGTGTCACACAATTTAATGACTACTTCGTGAAAACTTGGCTCGAAAATTCGGTTCTCGCAGACACTTGGTGTACATTCCGGCAAATGAATAAGACAAATAATGTTGTAGAAATATGGAACGGGCACATCAAAAAATATATTAAATCAAAACCGAATATTGCTCAATTTTCGGAGGGCTTAATCAAAGATATACATTTCTTCGCCTCCATTATAAGAAAATCTACAGGCGGCTTCAAAATTTCGACGAGATCGCCTGAAACTATAGAGAACAAGAAAAAAATTGACTATGCCATAAACCAACTAATCACCGGTCAAATCACAGTAGGACATTGTTTAGAAAAACTAAGAAGTTGACTATGTTTAAATGACGTCGTAAATTTTGTATCTATAATTTTATTTTATATAGGTATGTCAAATATTTAATCTTGTTGATTTTAATGATTATTTATTCAGATTTTAATTGTAAGTTTTTTTTTTATATTCGTGCATTTTTATTTGGGACTTATAATCATAGAGTATAATTTTAACTAGTTTTAAGTAAATCTTAAGAATCCAAATAGTTGTTAATAATTGTTAATTTTTTAGTTTTATTTCAAATTTTAAGACTATTTACATTTTTTAATACGTGATTTTTAATCAAACGACTGTGATTTTAACTAATTTTAAGTAAACCAGTTATAATCTAAAAACTAGTTGTTAATTATTTAGTTTGATTGATAAATGTTATAGATTTGATTGTTAAATATTCTTTTTAGAAAATTTAGATTTTTATACGTCACTTTTAATGAAACTATAGAGATTTTGACTAGTTTCTTTATGTTTAATTTATTGATTTTGATAGTTAAAACTGTGATTTCTGATTGTTTAAATACTTTACAGTGTAATAATATTAATCAAGGGCAATTTTAATAGTTATTGTTTTTTTTTAATTTCTATAAATGAAACTACTGTGATTTTTGATTATATCAGCTTAACCAAGCTATGGGTGTTTAATTTTTTCCCCAAACACTTTTGTTCATGAATGTACAAATATTTCAAATAATACAATACATTTTACCTTTTCTTTAAAGCGGTATGAGTTGACCAAAGAAAAATAATAAAAATATTAATGCGGACAACTTATCCCGCGGGATAAGTTTTAAGCGGGATGAGTTGACCAAAACCTCATCTTCCTCCAATGCCCAGTCTTTGCTAATTATTCTAGATACAATATATTCTGAGTTTGAGGTCAAGCAAATGCCATCACCGAACACACTTCTACAAATACTTAGCAGATAAGAAACCTTTACCCAACACGGGAATCTAAGTCGAAACCCAGAGTTCCGTCTACAAAATATGCAAACAAAGTTTCGTCACAATTCTCCCCGAGCCGCATTGTTTTCTCATTTCCTCAAGAAAAAACGAGATAAAAGTAAAAGTTACAGATTATTCCCCGAATACGGATGTAATAATAAGATGAAATTTTTCCAAGTGTCATTAAGGACGTTTACCTGTCGAAGAGCGTCGATAAAAGTGGAAGTTGTCGGAAGTGTCGCGGCGTAATCATTAGCAGAGGCGGCAAGTTGCTGGGTTTATCGGCAGCGGCAGCGGAGCCCGCTCGCCTCGCGCTTAAATGAGTTTGGGAACGTTCAGAGACGCTCATCCTTATCTAACTATTGATTCAAGTAATTGTTTAATTTTAATATTTGAAATGTTTCGAAAAGGAATCTCTCGTTCCAATAATCTTAATATTTTCAGTATTATAGTGCTGCTTCTTGAATACCTACATATGTACAATTAGGTATAGTTACTTTGTCGTTCCCGTTCATTTCCGTTGATAAAATTTTGTACTCAAATTACGTAGGTAACATCCTGGATAGCAGCACCAGCTACCTGAATATAGCCCTCATTCCTAAAACAAACATGTTGCAGCGTAAGTAGCTGGTGTTTCCCTCACAAGGTATCATTACCCGCGCCGCGCCCAGCCCGGGAGCGCGCACCGTTTAGCGCGCCTAATAATACATCACACACGATATTGATAGCTTCGCCTCAACAACACTTTGTTTATAACACAAAGATTGCTCTCTGATTGATTGTTCCAACGTGATGGATACATTTTTAACTCGCAGGTATTAGAATTTAAGTGCCTTTAATGTGTTTAGGAAATTATAGGTTTATGTTCCATAACTTAACATATAAAAAGTAAATATGGACGTCTCTTAAGTCGTCGCTGTCCGAATAAGTATTATTCTATTATTTATTTTGCTATTTCTGTACAATTATAGACGCGTAATAAATCATTATGACATTGAGAATAAAAGTAATTAGGTAATTCCTATTATGGTGTCGGCCATAAAGTCGTCCTACGAATGAAGCTTTCTCGTATAGAGCACAATATAAACACATGCTGAAACAACTTTTTAATTCAAGTTTTTATCCATAACCGGTACCTGATGTAGATACATTATCATAAACACAATGTTTTAGCACGACAGTGTCTCGTCGCGCACAAATAAAGCGATACACTTTGCATTTAACATATTTTTATGTGTAAGTGTGCGTTTGTATTACCATAATTATTGTCACCACACAAGCTGCACTATTAACATAACTACTGGAAATTACTTTAAGCTGGAAACCGCTCCTTTAATACCGACCACCAGAGTCAGAAGGAGGTAGAACATGTTATTATATCGAATGGCATTTCGCTAAACCAGTTTAGGCTTGAAATAGTTTTAATGATTCTTAGCTTTTTTAGACGATACCAATCAGTCGATGACCTGTGCTATAAAATTATTGCACAATATTAACAGTTCTAAGATTCTTTAGACCATTGTATACACCTAAAAATATTATTTTGTGACATTGGCATTGCCTTAAGTAGTGTCAGTAAGTTGGTAATTATAATTAGAGCCTAGCTAAGTAGTACGTACACAACAGTGTACTCTATAGTTTTAAAACAAGGCCAAATGACGGTGAAACGAGCGTCCCAGCTCCCGGTGTAGGCGGCGGGCGGGCGCGGGTATAGTAAATCATTGCTAATGTTCACGTGGCCGGGCTGCACGCTGTAATGGCTCGTGTGTTGCACAAGCAACAGATATTAAACGCGAGGCGCCATCCGCTACTACACCACGCCACGTGATACGAGGAACTAAGGCTAATCTTGTAGAGCAACGTTTATTAAATAATTCAGTTCTATTATTCATCTAACCTCTGTTTTATCTGCTGCCACGAAAATAGCTGCTAGTAGGTGAATTGTTACTAATAACATTGACAACTACTACTATCATAGGATGGTCATTAACTCTGTTTATATTATTATGTAGATTAGAAATGCAATATGGTAGTAACTCTCACCCAGAGCGGCGCGGAGGGCTGCAGCTGCGACGCGAACGCCATTCGGAAAGCATCTCCCACCAACGAGTTCAGTTCCTCCGCCTGAAACAATACACGAACATATTTTTCAGTACATGCCTAATAATACCACTGAGAGACAGCCTGATTGTAAATTTATTTAAAAAAATAAAATAGTCTAAAAGCTATATGCCGACATAAATATGAAGTCGTCGTTAAAACTTATATGCTATTGAATCTTTAAGATACGTATTGTATGTAGCTTGTGTAGAAGGTTCTTTGCAAATTGCAACCATTGTAATATTTCTGCAGTGAAGGCAGTCAGAGCGTTACTATAACAATATTTTACTTTCCATGATACTTTCTGTTGAGTTCTAATGTAGGAACCGCCACGTAAACGGTGAGCTCGTTACTTTATACTCGAACTGGAGTAGTACATTGTAGTCGACGGCGCGCGCGGTGGCGACTGTTGCTATAAACAAGACATTGCATTTTTCCGAAGGCTGAGCGGCAAGTTTTAAGTGAGTCCGCCGCTACAGCAACCACTATTCTACCGCCCCACTGCTCGTGCCATCAACTATGACCACTTAGAAGAAAACGCAGATTAATAGAGACAGACGAATAGTTTGTTACGCTTACAAGGAGTGCACTTCTGTTTGCTGCGCTTCGTTTTATTTGTTTTAGTACAGAAACTTGCTAAACTCACAGAGACGTGTATTATTCATTTCAGTTGATACTCGATTGTTGGCCGCGTTATACTCAGTAGGGTCGTACCGAATATATTCAGTTTACGAGCTTTGTTTATGAGCTCGCAGTTCATTGACATCGAAATGTATTATTTGCGAGTTTTCTGTTTCATTGTTATTAAAAAGAAATGTATATTATAATTTTAAATAATTTTCGATTACTACTAAGAATAGCGAAACACTAGAACTGGGAATATGGGAAATATTCTCCATGCACATAGTATTTATGGCGTCTATTCCGCGGCCGGGAAAGAGCGGAGGTGGAGTCGTTGAAGGCGTGAGGCAATGTGGTCGAGTTAATCGGAAAAGTCTCGATTATACCACCGCGGGGTGATATCGAAACGAGGTGCACCTGCAAGTAACGAGCCGTGTGCTGTTCAATGCCTTGCTATGATGGTGAAAACTGCAGTTTTGTAGTGTAGTTCTGTTGAGTCATTTTTGTTGGTTTAGTTCACACAAGTTTTTAATTTCTTTATAGAAAACTATTCAATATTTTCCAATCGATTCTTGAGAAAAAAGTACGTAAACTAAGTCCCAATGCGTGTAAGTAAATGTTTGCTTAGAGTAAGTACGTACAAGATAACGCTACTGTCAAAACACCGTTTGTAAGTAAACGATCATAAAACACGTACCTCGCGCCGTCTCCCAAACATGATGCTAAAGACAAACTAGCGTGGAAGTTACGAGGCGGTCTATGGTCAGTGAACATTCTTTAAACAATGATCAAATATAGACTTTATCGAAATCGATACAGAGTTTAGTTTAGTGCCAGCGTGATGTATAAATAGTAAAGTTCGGTGGGTGTGACCGATATGTGAGAATGATAGCCGTCAAGCGCCCACGACAGAGATTGATAAATCTGGCAACATAGAAAATGCAAAGCTACGGTCGCTGGGAGCTACTCATTGTACGGTTTAGAAATATAGCAACAAATTTAATGGCTGCGTGTGTATACTACACAAAGTTGACATTAAATAACTAAGTACAAGCTTCCAACTAGCTTTATTAAAATGAAGCAGTTTCTGTAGTGGCTTACGAACTAACGAACAAGTTGGGAAAACAACAATTACGTGTAAGTAGAGAAGACAATTTGAATGAGGTACCACGTAATGTGTAACTGCACCCACTGGCTCACTGGCTTCAACTAAACAATTCAGATACTAATAGAGATTTATCTGCCGCTGTACTTGGAAAAGGCGTAGCATTAAGGAGATACGTGCGGTACTCCTAGACTCTGAAATGTAAAGATAATATTATTAGGATCCAGAATTAACGTTATCACTTCGAATTTTATTTAGCTTTAAACATATCTTCTACTAACTAGTTAAGGTTGACCTCCTACCTACGTGAAGCTAGAAATATGTGTGGCGTCGCTTCCGTAGTGTGACTATCAACATCGGCCTGTCGAGCTGTGACTTGATACCACAAATATGAGAACAATCGAGAGGTGCTCGACAACGGTGTAACGGGACAACACGCCGCGGACAAATTGCTAATACTGTACGGAATCCTATACCGATCTCCGGTCGTAAATCTATTATAGTGGACGGAAAATTATTAGCCCGTCACCAATCATATAAGACTCTTTAAGTTCTACAAATACTAGGCTTAGAGGAAACTAGAAATTATCCGTCGCTGATATAATATGATGCTTGTAGACATTATTTGATTATTGATAACAAGATATAGATTAATGATAAAAAAAGTGTACTCGTTTCAGTTTACCGATAAGATTACACTACATGTTAGGGGTGATCTTTATTCACTCCTCTCTCAAAAATCTATTCACTAACAACCTGTAGATTTCGTACAAGTATTTTATCAGGGGTACGTGAAGAAATTCCTCAATCTATTCCAGTGCTTACCTTGTGCAACTTATTTTCTGTATTTAATAACTTAATGTCGAATTAGAAGCGTTTATTGGTACTGTAACTGTTACTAGTTGATGATTAATAGATTCATTGTTAAGATAGTTTTAAAATTTGTGACCTCTTATAGGCATTGCAACATACTTAATTAAGATAAGGTAAGAATAAGGTATCATCAACAAAATGCAATATCGTTGAATCCCCACAATGTACTTATTTGGCAGGAGTGTCACGTACAGCTCATCATTTAGTGCAGTGCTCGCGATATATGTACCATGTTACATCGTGTACGGCACGTAATCGCGTGTCCACATGTTAGGGATGTTTGTTCAGATAGCGACACCGGCCGATGTGCCGGTAGTGCCGGTACCCGCGCCGCTAACGTGCCGCAAGCGATACGATCGCTTCATTTCATATTGAATGCTAATCTCGGTGACGTTGATGTTACTTTGTGTTTACCGGGAAATGTATTAAACATTTGTTGCCATTTCCACAACACTTGATTGTTTCCTGTATTATTCACTAACTGAATGATAATTTGTGCTCTATAGAAGGGATTTTAGCCTTTTGATCGCCATAGCTTTAGACTATATTTGATCGTCTTAATTATGACGTTTTATGCTTGGCTCTGCTTGACATTGGCAAAATAGCCTAATATTCGTTTATCGTCTATAGCCAACCATTACGGCCAAAAACCGATTGTAGAATTCGATTTTTCATTTTGAATCATTTCTTGAGGATCAATAATTTGTAGTTACTCGTGTTCCTTCATTAAAATTCATTCTGTAGTCTACTAGTGAGTGTTCAATGTACAGCAGCTGGTCGGTTGGCGGCTCGTAAGTCGTACGTGTCTCCCCGCTAAGTCATATTGCATTGCCTCACACGCGACACACTGGGAACTTTAATGTTACATAACTTGTGTTATTTCCTGAAACGACAACATTACGTCCAGTATCCGCTTTGCTAGGTACAATAAACATTCCATTAAGGTATTAAAGTGCCAAGTGACAAACAATATTATAAGATAATCAGTTATAGAATGACTCCACTAACGAGATGATCACACAGAAGTAAATGAGTATATTCTAATAAAATTTCATTAAAAAAATGTATAGGAAATAAATATTTGGAGCGCACCCCGCCTGTCCATGCCAGCTGATACATATCGCACTCGTTAACCAGTAAACTATAGTTCATATTTTAGTTCACTTTAGATAACTGAATTACCGGCCAATGTTTGTTGCTAAAACATGATTTATGCTATCGATTTATTATAATGTGTGTTTAATTTAATACATACTTTTGTTATGGGCAACGGTTGAATACAAAATCGCGCAATATTTTGTTCAGTAAAACGTGCAATACTGTACGTAAACGGGCTAATGGTGATAAACAAAGCGCCTAATGCAAACTTTAAGTTAACGTTAACGTAGCACAGAAAACCGGCGTGAAACAATCATATTGTTATGTTTCGCCCTGTTCCTTCAAATCCCTAATCTCCTAAAGGTCGGCAACGCACTCGTAACTCCTCTGTTGTTGCGAGCGTCCATGGGCGGCGCTGATTGCTTACCATCAGGTATGATGGTCAGCAATACCCGTCTGCTCGTTTATCTATCATTTAAAAAAAACGTTATCGCAACGTAACTGCGTTTAGTCCTCTGGTTGGAAGCCAACCAGGGCGCTGAACGTCATGATAGTGTTAATCGTCTTAAAGTCACACAAGGCACTCAGTTCAGTTGACAAAATCATCTATCCGAAGCCAAAATTCTAAAAACTTTATAATTACTTGTTTTATAATACAATTAAGCAGACTGTTCCAATATTTGTTAAAAGTGAGTTAATTAAAAACGCGTGGCAATGTATTAGGCGGGGTGAGTTTGTCGGCTGGTGTCTAAAGCGGCGGCGGTCGAGTTAATTCCTCCCGCCGTACATAAAGCTGGGACGTGCCGTCGCGTACCCACTGTAATGTCACGGACACACAGAAGGCACACTCTGTACCCTCGTCTATAAGAGGATGGCCACGATTCAATTACCAATGTCATGAATAACCAATAATTAAATTCTATCAAACATTAAGGTCGGGTATTATGTGATCTATTTTGCCCATCTGACACATTGAATTAAATTACTACAATTTTCCTAATTTTTTTAAATGAGTTGCTTGTATTACCTAATAGAAGTTCAGGCCCGGACGATAAACTGAAACTGCGAATAACAATGTTTGAAATCTGAAAATTCGTGTGTACCTTCCTCTACCTGCTTTTATATTTTTGCTTGTAACCATTCGATTATTTTGTGTACTCACTCACAACTAGTATTGATAATGTACGTATTATAATCGAAATTACACAAAATCCCAGTTCAATTACACCGGTGCCTGATTATTTACTCAACGCGGACCTTCTGTATTGTGTTCTGAGTGTGCGCTCTGTGATCCGACTCAATCTGTGAGCATCAGGATCGACACAAT